AGGACTAAAAATTTATAGGAGATAATATTCAAGAAGAAGAATAATGAAACCCATAGTTATGATGTTTGTACACAAATATGTAATAAAGAAGAAAAAAAATAAGGACTATTACACAAGAAGGTAGATTAACCTTATAGTGATATCACAGAGACTTGGGATAGTAAGGTATACTCTATTCAATAGTTAAAGGGGAGAGGTGGGGGGGAGGGAGGAGGGAATAGATTAATTAAAAGGTGAAGTCGAATAGTATTGTATATTTAGAAAATACAGATAAGGAAATCCATGGACCAGAGAAAGAAAATATGGTAGGAAGCATTTGATAAAAAATAAATAGAGGATCAAAATGAATAAATGATTTGGATATAAAGGGTGATATCATAAGTAAATTAAAGAAGCATGGAAAAACTTACCTGTCAGATCTATGGATAAGGGAAGAGTTTATTGCCAAACGAGATAGAGAGGATCATGGGAAATAAAATGGATAATTTTGATTACATGGAATTTAAAAAGTATTTGCACAAACAAAAGTTATGTGACCAAAATTAGAAAGAAAGAAGGAAACCTGGGGAAAATTTTTTACAGCAAGTTTCTCTGAAAAAGGTCTCATTTCTCAAATATATAGGAAACTGAGCCACAAACAGGCAATTTTTCAGAAAAAGAAAATAAAGCTATCAACAGTTGCATAAAAATGCTTTAAATCACTGTTGATTAGAGAAATGCAAATTCAGGCAATTCTGAAATACCATCTCACACCCATCACATTGGTTAGCATGACATAAAAGGAAAACGACAAATGCTGGAGGGGAAGTGGAAAAATAGGGACACTAATGTACTATTGGTGGAGCAGGGAAGTGGAAGTGAGGGAGGTGAGCAGGCTTTGAGATAGAGAGTTCTCACAACTTATTCCTCTCTTCCTTGATGATGCAGCTCAGATACCACTGGATCCTCCCAAGTGATAGTACTCTGCCTCCCAAGCTACCTTGTATTTTATTACTTTCTATATGTAATTATCAAGATGTCTATATTTATTAACTTTATTCCTATGCTGTATGTATTTTTATGTGCACTTGTTGTCTGCCCCATTAGAATGTCAACTTGTGAGCAGGGATAGTTAATGATTACTTGTTGATATTACTGATTGAGATGTTGGATAACAGAAAATGAGAGTGTTTCTGCTTTTCTGCTTTAGAAAGACACATATGTATTTACTGGTTTTGAGTCAAAGTGAGTTCAATCTAAAGCTGGCTTATGCAGAAGGTTGCTCTGGCTCCTCATCTAAGCACCATACTGTTGACTTCGGCTCTACCATGAGAGTTGAGTGGAGGCAAGATCAAACATGCAGACTGATATGTAAAAGAGAGATGAAGCAGAAGTGCACTCTCCTGACTGCAAACTGCTTGCTCTCTCACCTCATCTAGAACTCTTTACTGTCTAATATTAGACTCTTAAAACCATTTGAATCTTGTTTGACAAGAGTAATTACTTCTTTTAATGTAAGGTCTACCTACCTTCCTGAAATTAATTCACTAAGTTATCTGCCATGGAATCTCTTGACATTCTGGACTTATTACTTTTTTTTGTGGCTGACTGCAGCCCTTGTCAGGTCAAGTATTTATAGTCCTTGTCAGGACTAGCATTTATTAAGCACCTACTATGTGCCAGGCCCTGGGAAAAACAAATTCCCCCCCCAAAAAACCCCACCCCTCCCCCACCTCCCCACAAAATTAGTCTTTGCTCTCAAGGAGCTCACAATCTAATGGAGAGAATATGTACAACTACGAATGACTATGGACAAAAAAGGATATGTGCAGGATAAATTGGAGGTGATGTCAGAAAGCTAGAGAAGGAAATGGCAAACCACTCTAGTATCTTTGCCAAGAAAACCCCAAATGGGGTCACAAAGAGTCAAATACGACTGAAATGACTGAATAACAGCAACAACCTCAGAGTGAGAGCACCTAAGATTAAAGAGAATTGTAAAAACCTTCTTAAAAAAAGTTTTTTTGTCCATTAATTAATTTTTAGTTTTCAACATTCACTTCCACAACAGTTTGAGTTCCAAATTTTCTCCCCATCTTGTCTCTCCCCCAACCCCAACATACTGTGCATTCTGAATACCTTTTCCCCTAATCTGCCCTCCCTTCCATCTCCCCCCGCTTCTCTTATTCCCTTCCTCTTCTATTTTCCTGTAGGGCAGGATGGATTTCTTTACCCCATTGCCTATATATCTTATTTCCCAGTTGCATGTGAAAACAATTTTTGACATTTATTTTTAAAATTTTGGGCTCCAAATTTTCTCCCTTCCTCCCTTCCCACCCACCCTCATTGAGAAGGCAAGCAACTCGATACAGGTTATACTTGTATAGTCACGCAAAACACTTCCATAGTAGTCACGCTGTGGAAAACTCACTATATTTCCCTTCATCCTATCCCATCCCCCATTTATTCTATTCTCTCTTTTGACCCTATCCCTCCTCAGAAGTGTTTGCTTCTGATTACCCCCTTCCCCAACCTGCTCTATCATCTCCCCACTCTCTTATCCCCTTCCCCCCTATTTTCCTGTAGGGTAAGATAGTTTTCCATACCCAATTGACTGTGTATGTTATTCCTTCCTTAAGCCAAATCCAAAGTGAATAAGATTCACTCACTCCTTCTCACCTTCCCCCACTTCCCTTCCACTGTAAAAGTCTTTTCTTGTCCGTTTTATGTGAGATAATTTACTCCATTCTACCTCTCCCTTTATCAATCCAGCCTCTGATATTTCCTAATTGTATGATCCTGGGCAAATCACTTAACTCTGTCTTGCCTTATTTTTTTCATCTGGCGTCATTTGTACCTTAGCACAATTAGTTATTGTTGTTCAGTTCTGTGACCCATTTAGGATTTTCTTGGCAAAGATACTGAAGTGGTTTACCATTTCCTTTTCCAGCTCATTTTACAGATGAGGAAACTGAGGCAAATAGAATTAAGTGACTTGCCCAGAGTCACACAGCTAGCAAGTGTCTGAGGCCATGTTTGAACTCAGGAAGATAAGTCTTCCTGACTCCAGGTGTGGTGCTCTATCCACTGAACCACCTAACTGCCCCTATAGAAATCCCACCTCATACATTTACTAGCTATTGTGACTCTGGGCAAGTCCTTTAACCCTGTCTGCTTCAGTTTTCTCACCTGTAAAATGGAGATAATAATAGCATTTACCTCCCAGGGTAGTGTGAGGACTAAACGAGATATCTGTAAAGTGCTTAACACAGTTCCTGGCACATAGTAAACACAATATAAATAAATAAATAAATAATAATAATAATAATAATTGTTGTTGTTGTTGGAGTTTGCAGAACAAAAAATGTTGGGAAGCATTGTACTAAGTTGTTAATGGTATGTGATCTTTATTGGTGGAGGGAGTTGCCAGGCCAGGAGTTTCCTGTTATATTTAAGTACATCAGGAAGCACTGTTAACTCTAGAAGCAGAGGACCTGTGTTCAAATCCTACCTCTTACACTTACTGCCTCTATTAGTAGGGCAAGTCCCTTTATTTACTTCCCTGGACCTCAATTTCCTCATCTAAAAAGTAAGTGTATTGGACTAAATCTCTTCTAGCTTTAAATCTTTGACCTATGGTTTAATAATTAGATCTTGCTTTGTATACATTATATGAGCTTAATTGTTGATTTAATAATAATATAAAATATTATATAATATGTTCCTCATAAGAACATTTTAAGGCAGGTTTGTTCAGTCATTTCAGTCACTTCTGACTCTTTGTGACCTCATTTGGGTTTTTATTGGCAAAGATACTGGAGTAGTTTATCATTTCCTTCTCCAGCTCCTTTTACAGATGAAGAAACTGAGGCAAAGAGAATTAAGTAACTTGCCCAGGGTCACATAACTAGTAAGTGATTGAGGCTAGATTTGAACTCAGGAAGATAAATCTTCCTGACTCCAGTTCTGGCTCTGTATCCACTCCACTACCTATCTGTCCTTTAAAGCAGATAATAGAATATTATTTTTCTCATTTGGCAAGTGAGAAAACAGGCTTGGTGAAGTTGTGAATTACCCAGAGCCACACAATGAGTAAGTGGAGAAGCCAAGGTTCAGGATCTCCGTCACGAATGAAATGACACAACAAGATAGACTATGTGGCAGAAGATGATGCTCATTTTGTGAACAATTTTGAGGTAGCAATGAAGCATACAGCCACACATCCCAAAAGCTACAAAAAGACGAGCAAAGAGAGTTTATTTTTTTAAACATCACTCGGTTATTAATTCTAAGCTACTTCAATGTTCTATTCTCTGAGAAAAGACAATGCATATACGCAGGGTGGGAGAGGGGCAGGATGGATTTAATTTCTGACAGTAAATCTAGAAACAGAAAAAGGATCCATTTTATCATTCTCACCCATTTTATCATTCTCACGTCATGCACTTGCTTTTTGATACCTGTTCAGTTGTTCTTGGAGCAAATCTAACCGATGTTCCACTTCTCCATATGTGAGATCACTTTCAGTTTCACAGATCCCCCAGGTAACTCGGTGGTATGCTGAGGGACTAGGCACCTCTGGGTGTCCCCGGGAATTTTCTTGTTCCCAATTTCTTGCATCAGTGATATCTAAGGAAATTAGCAAGATTTATATTACACGTATTTACACTTGATGTAGCATTTCTTTGCATAAGTATCCTTCCTAAATCTAAGGAATTGAAATTGGTTTTATTTTGTAGAATCCTCAAATGTCATCACTGGAAGGAACTTTAGAGATCAACATTTAGTCTAACCTCCTTATTTTACAAACAATGAAACTGAAACAAAGAAAGGTTAAGATTAAGTGATTTGTCCTAGGCTATGCAGTGAATTTGTGCCACACTGCTTCCAGAATTCTAGTCCAGAAACTGTTACACTAGGCTCTGTAGCTATTTCTACATTCCACATGTTTATCTGTATGTAAGTAAAAATGTGTTGTATATTCTGGCTTAGGCCAAATGAGTCAAGAAATGGTATCCTTTGTGCTCACTTCGGCAGAACACTTACTAAAACTAGAACAATACAGAGAAGATTATTATCACCTCTGTGCTAGGAAGACATGCAAATTGGAGAAGCATTCCTTATTTTTCTTTTAAATAAGGAATGGATTCAATTTACAAGTATAAAAGCCATTTCCCAGTTGATGAATGATCAGTGGGCATGAACAGGTAGTTTTTGAAAGAAATCCATGTTGTCAACAACCTTATAAAAAAAGGCTCCAAATCATTAATAGATATGCAAATTAAAGCAACTCAGTTGATAAAAAGTTGACAAAAAAAGGGAAAATGACAAATGTTGAAGAGGTGGTGGAACCAGGATTATTAATGCTAAATTGGTGGAGCTGTGAACTGCTCTAGGCATTTTGGAAAGTAGTTTGGAATTATGCCTGCAAAGTTACCCCAGCAATATGACAATTAAGGTCATTCCTCCAAAGATATTAAAGAAAGAGGAAAAGGACCTATATGCACAAAATATTTATAATAGCTCTTTTTATAGTGGCAAAATACTGGAAATAAGGGGGTACTCATCAATAGGGGAATGACAACAAATTATATTATATGGATGTAATGTGAGATGTATATGGATGCTATGTGAGAAGAAATGTAAAGGATGTTTTCAGAGAAATCTGGGATGATTTCTGTGAACTGATACAGAGTGAAGAAACAGAACCCGGAGAACAATTTATACAATAACATCATTACAAAAACAGATAACTCTGAAAAACTTAAAAACTCTGACTAATGCCTCAGTCATGATTCCAAGAGACCAATTATGATGATGCCAACAACCTACCTCATGACATGATAATCAACCCTTTGGTCTAGGCCAAATGAGACATATTTTTAGACATGGTCAAAGCAGGGATTTGTTTTGCTTGGCCATGCCTATTTGCTACAAGGCTTTTTTGTTTTTCTTTTTTTTTTTTGCCAATGGGGGAGGAGGTGGGAGGGATAGAAAATAAATGCTTGCTATTGAAAAATTAAAAATTAAAAAAATTGTACCCTTCTAAAAATGTAGACTTTTTGCCAATATTAAACAAAACAAATATGCATGGTGAAAACATGATTGAGTCTGTCTAGTCTAATCTCATTTTACAGATGAGGAAACTGAGTCCCATAGGGGTTAAGTGACTTTCCTGAGATCACACACTTAGGAACAGAGATGGAATTTGAACTCTTGTCCTCAGAACCCAAATCTACTGCTGAATTCACAGTAGTTTTTATATATGTGGATTAAATTTTCCTACTTGGAGGAGTAAGAAATGTCAGTGACTTTCTTCAAAGGACTTACATATGATGCTAAGAAGATACAGAAAATGTTGCTTCTTTAAAAACTATAGAAAGTCAAAGTGGCAAAGATGAGAAGAGAAAGAGTTAGTTAGATGGGCTACCAAATGACACATTCACTGTTTGTGGACCTATTAGTTGGTCCTACCACTATGGAACACAATTTAGAACTATAGGAGAAAAGTTATTAAATGTTTATACACTAGAAAAATATAATAAAGATGTAAAAGATAGACAGAAACTGTCTTATCTTTTTTAGTATAAAAGACCTAAAAACAAAGTAGGTACTCATCAATTCAGAAATGATATACCACAAACAAACAAATTGGGGTATATGAATTTAATGGAACATTATTGCACTATAAGAAATGATTAATATAAGGAATTCATAGAAATATGGGACTTTTTATAAATGAACTGACAGAGAATGAAGTATGTAGAATTAGGAGAGCAATATACACAAATGCAATATCATAAGCAAAAACAACACAAAAGAAATTGTAATAATCAACTATGGTACCAAAGAACAGATGAAAATACATAATTACCTCCTTTGTCTGACAGAGAGGTAGGGAACTACTGGTAGAAAATGTTGCATAAACTGTCAAACATAGTCTCTTTGTCAGTTGATTTTGTTTAACTGCTTTTCTTTGTTAAAAGTGGGTAATTCTAAGCAAAGAATTTGGTAATAACAAGTTACATCGTTTTAACAAGCTTGTAAAACCTTGCAAAAACAGGAAAACAGGGGAAAGGCAAGCCAACGAGAAGGGCCCTAATCTTTTCGTAGACTCCAAAGTTCCTAGAGGGCAGAACCAGTTTTAACCAGCCCTAAGTAGGACAAAGGGCACAGGCTTTTGGAACTGCGCATGCTTAATTAGCTGATATAATATTAACTGACACACCCCACATAAAATTAGAGCCTCATTAACTGATCATGCATGGGACAGGGGAAACATGGAATAGGCCTGACCAGGAAGATTGTAACCTGGAAAGGAACGGACCAATCTGGGCCTGGAAGGGAGGAGTCGCTGCATTCTAACAGCATAAAGCTGTCTCTCTCTTCTGTATTCAGAGCACTCTCTTCCCAAAGGTGTGCCGGTTCTCCCAAGAACAGTAATAAACGATTCTTCACTCAAAAAAAAAAAAAAAAGTGGGGATTCAATGGGAAGAACATATTGGGAAATGACTATCTTATAAAAACAAAGTCATCAATAAATATTTTTAATTAGTTATGAGAATATGTTAATAATGCTAAAAATTTTCTTCAAAGATCTCTTTGGGTCAAACCATATGACTAACTTAACCTTTCCTTATAAATATTATTTCATACTCCTTTCATGCCGTGCTCTTTAAAAAACCCAAATCCAAACAAACAACAAACAAAACAAAACAAAAAAACCTTTCCCATGCATCTTAGTTTTTTCATACTTTTATATTAATATATTGTGTCCTATTATTTAAATTATTACTTATTCATCTCACCTATTCCATCATTTTTAGAGCTAAAATTATTTTGTGCATGTTTGTTTACAAAAGAGAAGTGTTGTAAAAGATATATCATCAAAGAAATGTGTTAGGGAAAAAGGCTGGTTACATGATGAGAGAGAAAGGTGGCGACATATCCGGCATGATGCATTTGACATCTGTGTAATGTCAGAGAAAATAAGGAAGGCCAGCAGCATGAAGAGTGGAACTTCAGTGGTGAACTTTAAGAGGTGGTATGTGAGAGTCATACAGGTCTGTCAGACATAGATGGGTTGACATGTGTATTGCTGTTGGGTTTACTCCTGCCAATGGGCTTACAGAGCCATTTGAATATTTTTCATTATTTTTCTTTAAAGTTTCACTCTTTCACAAATGTCCTATTCCAGTGTATTATCACATTATATGGAAGTGACTCTGTTTTCTCTCATGTTTTCTCAAGTGTTTCCTATACAAGATTTATTTTCCAGTTGTCTTTTTAAGACAAATCCTAAATTTCTTTTATTCAAGGTGTGAACTGATGTGCTGTAATCCAAACAAAAATCTCCTCTTCTCCCCCTCACCCTGATTCATAGAAGAAATTCAAAAATGACCAACTGGTAAATGATCAGAGCCATCCACAAAACATAGCAGATGGGAATTTGAATCCAAAGAAAGAAAACACTTAATGAGATTTTTTTTTCCTTCTCTTTGGGAAAATTATCATTATTATAAGGAGAATACTCCCGGTTGTTCCTCATGTTTGTATGCAACCATGTGCATTGCAAAAAGATTTCAATTAGCCAAAAGGAAGAATTTCTGATATTCAGTTCAATTCTATTAAAAATCATTGAGACTTCTACTTGCAGAGAATTGAAGGAGATACAAAGATAGATAAGGCTTAGTTTCTGCTCTTGAAGGAACTTATGAGTTTGGTAGGGTTGGTTACTTACAGCTTTTGTTTAAAACATTCTTTGGAATTCTGTGCCATTGGAAGAAACTATAACTGATAAAAAAAAAAAAAAACCACGACTAAGTGGCACAGTCCTCCTTCCTCTCAAGATGCATGTACAGAATGTTGGTTCAAGGCTTTTTATCCGACTAGATCCAAAACCTGACAATTCAGAGGCTGTTCAGTTGTCTTGTTGAATGTTCCATAGTCCAACTGTATTATCAGCTTGGGTAAATAACATGTACTTCCATTTTTTCAAAATTTAATTATTTTTTTCAGTGAACAAAAGTGTATTTTCTCTTCCTCTCACCCCATCCCCATCAGAAAGAAAAAGAAAAAGATAAACAAAATCTTTATAACAAATATGCATAATCAAGCAAAATGAATTCCTGCACTGGCCATGTAACAAGGTGTACTTCTGAGACAAGGTATATTTTCTCTTCTTAGATTTTTGGGGACACTTTGTATTTCAAGGCATAATATTAGATGTGTTTCTATGGTGCAGCAGTCACAGTAGACTCATGTTTCACTTATTTAAGACATAGAATTGATAGGATACTCAGAAATAATATTCATCAAGCTAAACTCTATACTTTCCTAGTCCAGAAGGGAGCAGAGGTTAGATATTATTAGGTAGAGTTAGTTGAATAAATGATTTTTATGCTCTTTTCTAGTCCCATAGACTAATTCCACGTTTGCCACAAGTGACTTTACCAAGAAGACTGAGAGAAAATCCATGTCAGAGAGTGGTCATGAGATGCTTTGATCTATTACTAAGACTTTAGTACATCAGCGAAACAGTGAAAAAAAGGTGAAGTGAGGTCATAGAAGGGCTGTACTCGCAATAGTCATGCAAGATACATAGTGTAAATGTTGTCATCCCCATTTTATAGCTAAGGAAACTGAGGCTCTGAAATGTTAAACAACTTGTCCATATGATCATGTAGCTAGTATTTATGGTAGGATTTAAATGGAGATCTCACAGTACCAACACACTATCTCCATTGTGTTGTTTATGCTGCCTATGAAGCAATCCTGGTGACGGGGCTGGGTTAGATGACTATTTGAAGTCTTTTCCCCCTCTATAATTCTGTGAATATTTATCTCTCCAAAAATACTGGCAGGCAACTAAAAACTGTCTATTTTTTCCAGCGCCATATTAAAATTTTATAATCTTTTGGGGGGCACTTTTTCTCTTGTTATGTTTTTATCATTGGATTTACACAAATTTCTTTAATGAGGGAGCTGCAATTTTGACACTGCCTCATATGAAATAATGTGCATATTCATCGCCAGCATAAAGAAAAAGATCTAGAGAAAAATAAAGCTTTGTGCTATGAAAGTGATGAATAGACCCCAGTGTAAAGGTCCCTAGATTTCAAACAGGTG